AGGAAAGGATTTCTAATTATGTTTGAGATCCTCGTCGTTCTTTTTTCCCCTTCTCAAGTACTTGTCCACTTTCATGATGTTGATCTAAAATCGTCTTAACGGGAGGAGTTTTATATACTTTGAAGCTCCAAGTCCTGAATCTTTTGCTCTCTTTTACTTAAGGGAGTTTGCAATTTTGTGGAACAGGTTGGCAAATAGAAATAAGGGAAAACGAGATGCGCGGGTACGCTTGTATGAGAGTTAGCTTATTTGCCTCTGACTTGGATTAAATAAAAATGAAAGAACCGTAGAGTCCTTGATCGATCAACCTGTGTTAGTCATATATCTGGTTCTGTCCTCGCATTTTGTTACGCTATAGGTATACGTATTAATAATCACAATTCCTGAATAATTCTATTTATTACTCTTTAATATGACTTTTAATATTAACGGGACTTTTAATATTAAATTCAAGTCCGGATTTTACATAATAAATGTTCATCAAATATTAGCTAACAGATAGAGGCCTATAAATGATTGAAAATCAATTTATTTATTTTAAAGGATGTAACATAACTTTACGTTTTTAGTTCGATATGTACGAAATCTAAATGTTTATGTCTCATTGAGATTAAAACTTCTCTTTGCGGCCATGAAATATTATATACAATTTTTGTCAAAGAGTTGTAATCCATATTTTCTGAAGAAAAAAGCCTTCTAACTGTTTTTCTTCATACCCTTTTGTTTCAGAGCTGGAATATGATTTACTTCAAGCTTCCGTGGCATTAACAGACGACAATAATTTGTACATCGACGATGGTCTCGACGGATTTCCAAGTTTTGGCTTCCGACCTGGCTCCGAAGTTAAACAGCCGTATCGATTATATTTGCCGGAAAAATTGCCAGCAGAGTTCACTTTGGTGGCAACTTTTAAGCCGACGTCATTTAGAACCAGTTATCTCTTCGCCGTCCTAAATCCTTTCGAAACTGTTGTGCAATTAGGCATCCGGATATCCGTAAGTACATCAATTTATACATACAAGGGATGTGTAAGGAACCTGTAAAGAACAATAGAAATATAGTATCGAAGCGATTTTATTCTATTTCATTAGACGCTTTACGTTATCTTCCATTCTTACCATACAACCAACATAAAATGTTTTTGTAACCAAATAATACACAAATTCAAAAATATTTCTATTTAAAATTTTTCTATTTTAGTTAAAAATGTTAATGAACAATCACACTGTCGTATCTTCATTCCTATAACAACGATAATATATTTCAAACAATGGATGGCGAGCGCAAAACTTGAAAGATTTCTGATAAGACAGGGTTCGCAGTCTCACTCGTCTGCTTTCATCGCATTACCTTTCATAAAACTGTGAAATGAAACACAAACGATTCGGGTCTGAATATGAAAGAAATCGGAAAATAGGCAAAAATTTCCAAGTACAATCGGTCGATTTAGAAGGAACCGACTGCGGTGGCGCGATAGACTTTTAAGTCGACGCTCCTCGTCGGTGTATGGAGGGCATTTCCTCATGTTTCTCAATATCTTTGAGGCCGTTGTTGTAGCTTGCCGGGTCTTCAAGTTTCTTTGAGATCTTTCACGTTTCCTGCGGCACCGTTTCCACGGGTAATACCGCTTCTACGTGTTCCGCAGCGAAAGCAGCTCTCCGTTGCTTTCGACGTTTCGAAAGAGAGTACGATCCCCATGAGAATCGATAGCGACGGGTTGAGACCGCGCGAAAACGCTTCGACTTTCGAATCTCTTGGCATTTTCTCCCGATTCAAACCGATCTAAAGGAAATTTTATTATCTTTAATATTAAATATAAAATTCTCTCTTTTATAGGATGGTCCAGGAACAAACCAGAATGTCTCACTGGTCTACACCAATTCTGATTTGCATTCGCATTCGGAAGAGGTGGCGAAATTCACGGTGCCGAAGTTGACAAAGAAATGGTCAAAGATCGTAATCAGAGTATCGACGACTGATGTCACCTTATATCTAAACTGTCACGAAATGGCCAAGCAACGAGTAACGAGGATTCCTCTGGAGTTGATGTTCGACACAGCCAGCACGTTGTACATCGCTCAAGCTGGGCCTCATATTCAGGAAAAATACGATGTAAGTACATAAAGGATTTTATCATCTAGTATTGCTGTTGAAATTGATGTAGTCATTGGAACGGCGCTGAACTAGGTTGGATCTGTTTTGATTTTCGATAACGAAACTGTAATTTCTGGTTACTGGTTTATGACCGAATCGAGTAAATTGGACTGGCATCGATTAAACCGACTATAAATTTTACTTTCCTAGAAACTAAACAAGTTCGAGATTCATTGTGATATCTATTGTAAAAAAGTGACATATGTCATTAACAACCTACATAACGATATTCAAAAATAACAATTTCAAAATTAAAATATCGTAGGATATTTTTAGAAAATTTTCAATTGTAAATTAATCTGTGATACCTTGATTCAGAGACATTAATTTTAAAACACAAATTTCATAAATATCAGCGTGTCGATTATTTTTATTTATTTATCGTTATGCACGAGCAATCTTCTTAAAATTGAAACGTTACGATCGAGAAAACAGATTCAACTTTGCTTTTTCAACTATCCTGCGTATCACGTCTCACTACGAAATAGTTCGTTTGAGAGGTATTTCCTGAAAATAGCAACTTTATTAAAGGAAACGTGTTCAAAGAAGCATGTAGCTTCCCCTTTTAGTTTGTGAAAAGACGAAAATGATCGGTTGAAGCGTTCAGAGTCGTTCCGTTCTTAAGTAAGTATTAAAACTTGTCTCTCGGGTCTCGTCGAGTCAAACAGAGTTGCCAACGATTACGGATTAACCTCGAAACGCAATGGTCACAGAACCGTGAGTAGAAAATCTCTCGATATATAGTTATGTACATAGTTAGAGTCATATTTCGGAGTAAAAATTTAATATCAAGTTAGTCGAACAAAAAGTTCGACGAAGTAGAAAAAGGGAAACAATCTTATTGAAATAATGTCGTGTCGTGGAAAAGAAAAAGACTTAGGAAAAGGTGGAAATTGGAAAACGCAGTATCGAAATCCTGTATACTATCTCTTTAAAGGATTCGCCACAGTCGTTATTTTTTCAAAGAGCTTTCATGGTATATTAGAATTGACTTGGTTCTTTAAACTACTTAACTAAAGGTACTTTTCGTAAAACTCTTTGAAAATTATAGAACGTTGCAAAATCTTTCCGTAAGCTTTTCGAAATTCAACGGATTGTACTATTCCTGATAATCGTAGAATAAATTATAATCACACGACTCGATTAAATGTTAAGTGCGTGGAATAATCACTATAGTTACTCTGGTAAAATTTCACGCAATAGAAGTATTCAGCGATTATCGCCACGAACAATAACTTAAGCACATTTATTATAATTTCGCTTGGCAATCGGATATAGTTATTTGTAATTTTAAGACCGTACCGTTCGGTACATCGATTTTCTGGTTGCCATTTCAAGTCGTCGCTTAACGATAATTAGCTTCCATACCGATGCACTCCGATTTTCCGTATGCCGTGTACGCGCCCCATAACGATAGCGTGCAGAGACAATGATTTACTTTGGTTCTTTGTTAATTAGCCACTGACGATAATTGTTGCAATCTGGCGCGTTGCAACATTTCGTTATAATTATATAGCAACGCACTACTCGGCGAAGGGAAATTATACCGTTACGATTAATACGCTCCGATTTATCGGCAAAATTACTACTGTTCGTTTTTCTATTTTTCATAATTTTTCTTTTTATTTTTCGAATTTCAATTCTGCTCAATATGAAATATTATACCGACGGTGTTTCTCTCGTGTTAAATCATTTTTATCAACATTTCTAGTATCTGTGTATAATTTTTATTTCGAAGAGATTCAACTGGAAATATACGACGGAACAAACGTATGTATATATATATATATGTAATTCATATTAGTAATACATTAATAAACTTGCATAAATATTCACAAATAGCTACTATCATTTTCAAATGCATACATATATAGAATCATACGTTGTTTCGTATTTAAAGTTGAAATTGCCGAATGAAAGAATACCTTTTAATGTAACAATTTATGAAGTTGTATAAAATGTGAAACAGAATGCATTAGATTAAATTTCAGAAAAGATTTCAGAGAACACCGATTATAATTCTAAACTACGGACGCATCGTATTGATGTTTTATTTATAGAAATTTTTTCTCATTGTCTTTCGGTATTGGCGATTTAGCTTTGATCCAGGTTTCATCAATTATGAAGCACTCTGTATGTAGAACGGTCGAGTATCAGCCAAAAGCGATTAATCTACGGTATTCTCATTGCAAGAATAAAAATACTCTGGGCATTTCACCGCGAAGTATGATGAAAATACCATTAACTGGCTATAAAAATTATTAGGGTGGTAAAGGGAGAAAAAATACGGCGTATAAAGTGAAATAATGAGATGGGAAAAGAATAATGCGAAACAAAAGCGAGATCACCGGTGAATATTCCAAAATATCGTTAATAACGATATTCTCGTATCAGATAAATATTTCTCACGATTTGCTCGCAATTATCATTGTGCTCTCCTGTTGTCAACAGTATTTCGGCATTAATCTGGACAAAGTGAACAAAAGGAATTATCGACCTTTGTGAAATCTGCTTGTTATATCGTTTTTAATCCTGTTTTCGACGAGTAGATATTAATGAAATAAATATAATTATAATAAGTAATAAATAGTAAATAAATGGAAGTAACATAGGTATCGTAATAAGAAAATCGAAATCTATTAAACCAACTATGGTATATTTCAAATAGAGACTGTTTGCTTTGTTTAAAATTAGTTTTTAGACGTGAGACTTCACTAATTAGACCTATAACATTTCCATTGTTACGATGCTGTCAATTTTACACAATACGTAAAGCAAACAGCTGTCTAGCATGGTATTTTCGAAGCTAGAAGTAGCGGTTTTTGTTGAAAATGTATTATACATACGAGAATCGTTCAGAAAGTAATATCCGTTTTGAAATAACAACGATACAAATGCATCTTGAAAAGTTTTCTTTATTGGTAATTTTAGTACATATACTAAGTTATATTTCAATACAACCACCAGCCCTATTTGAACACTTATCGTAACGTTATACGAGCTTTTTGTACGTTTTTGTCATATGCTTCCGTCGTCAGTTCACATAACCATCGTCTTACTCAATTCTTTAAATCGTCGTTTCTTGTGAAACATTATCGACTGAAAAACTCTTTAAGTTTTTGCAAAAAAAAAAAAAAGAAGGTAATGAATATCATTTGCAATGAGATCGCAAATACGTCCTTGAGCCCCTTTGTAATGAGAGACGAGCAGCCTGAATGCTTACGATAACGTACAGTTTCTTTGTTCTTATTAAATCCCGCATTCACAGACTTACTAATAATTCATCCGTAACTCTATTACCGTTAACTGCTGTAAATCGGTGGTGAATTTCTTTTGGAAGAATTTTTACAGACAATATTTGAAATATTTAAACACAAAGTTTTGCATAACTTACGCCAATACACGAATAAAGCTAGATAACCTTTTGTAAGTAGATTTCATCGTTTTATATGGCTTCTGTACTTTCTGAACGACCCACGTAGATCAGCAATAGCTCAGATTGAATTAGTGAAATCGAATACACTTTGATTAAGTTTAGCCGGTTGATGGAATAAAATATTTCAGTCTCTTCTAAACTGATCGATAAAATATTAAAGGTTATTTGATTATTCAAGCGAAAGAATGAACACTTTATATATTTTACGTTTTTACATATTTCACTATGTTTCCAAATATGGTATTGATCAAATACTCAAATTTAGTCATGTTGAATGAATAGTTCATGCTACTATGGCGGTTCGTAATATTGAAAATTAACTTTAATTAGAATCTCATCCGAAAAGTTATGAAATTATTATAGAACGTTGTCGTTTTTAGATAAATATCTAAACCTCGAATAAGATTAATGGTGGGATGATATATATTTGGCCAATAAAAATTGTTATCGAGTTTCGTGTTTAGAGAAACGTTGCGCGCACGAGACACCGTTAAAATCGTCATTAAATATCTAAATGAAATCGGAATGGACGCGAGCTGAGGTTCGTCGTGCGACGATAAATAAATAAAACTGTCGAGAGAATCGGGTCAACGCGACAGCTAAACTGGAAGAATAGTAATTGCTATCGAACGAATATTAACGCGATCTGCTTGCCTGGTTTTTTACGTTTTTTTTTAACGCGCCGTGCTTCTACATTCCATGCTTTTTCGAACTGCTTTTTAATCACTGCCAGCATTACGAAGACGTAGGTATAATTTTGATTCTATTTATAAAGCGTCGGATATAAACAAATTTGTTTTATTTTTAAAGTAAATTATAGGTGATAAAGTAAATTATAGCTACTGTTTAGACGAACGAATATTATGTTTTAAATAACTGGCTTGCTTATTAGTTCAAGCTTATTAAAAATTTCATACTACAGATTTTTGAAGATATTAAAAACTAAAAAAGTAAGTTATAGGTGATTAAGCTTCTGTTTAGACGGACGAATATTATGTTTCAAATAACTGGCTTGTTTATTAGTTCAAGTTTATTGAAAATTTCATACTACAGATTCTTGAAGATATTAAAAATTTCATAATATAACTTATTACTGTTTTTGCGCAGTCGTATAAATTGCTTTCAAAAAAAAGTTACGGAAAAATAGTCAGAGATAAGCTAGGTTCAAAACAATTTTATGATATGAATTTATGAAATCCCAGTAAGCTTTAAATATAGCATATTCTTCGCTTATTTTCTGTCTAAAATACATACATATTTATACATATTACGTACATATACATATATACATATTATTATATATTCTTAATAACGTCTCAGATTTATGATTTAATGATTTTACCAATAAACGAAATGAAAATTTGTTTTCACATTGGCTCCACTTGTTTCAATTAACAAGAGATAAAATCTGTCTTGTTGATTAGTAAATACCAATAAAACTAATAAAAGACAGAATTATTTGTTTTATCGATATTTGATCAGTTAAAAAGGACCTCTCGTTATTTGCAGATACATGTTCTAGCAATCGAAATGTTATTTCGCATCGTCGATCATACACCCGTTTCAAATATTGAAAAACGTTGAATCGAAATTAATTTTGAATCGTCGAATGTTTCTATTTTGCGAGCACGCAGCTTGCGTGAATAGTCTTTATTCAGAAAAAAAAAAAAAAACGAAGACACTCGTTTGGACCGATTAAATCGGCTATTTAATTCAATAGCTGTGGTTTATGCGGAATTCTGACCTGCTTGAGTTAGACAGAATTTGATTGACAATTTATTTTCCAAGCCGCTGATTCCGCATTGTTTCAAAGGGTGAGAACAGAAAAATGGAATTTCACTTCATAGAAAGCCGAACAGCGTTTCCGAGCAATCGGGAATATCTTTTATTAATGGAATTATATCGTTCAATTGGAGAAAATTGGAGTTTGAGGACATTTCATATTCTTCGGTGTGACCGATTAAATTTTTACTTTCGTATTTTCTTCTTCTGTTGATCGGAGTCATTTAAGCTCGTTCGTGAGAAAGAGTTACATGACGTTACACGCAGAAGTTTACATTGCATTGTATGATCATATGATTATATCGCATTGATTTATAATTATATGATGATTATATGTATATGATCACTAATTTATCTAATATCAGTTTTGACATAAAAAGTAAGATATTGAATCGAGAAGCAACAACTTTTTTAAATGCACGCGCTAGTTTCGAGTGTATCAACTACGTCATATCAAAATTTTTCGTTTTCATAGAATAGACAAAAGCACCAAAAGTTTAATTACTCTTTAGAGACTTATAAAATAATTCAATATCTCATAAAGTTCCTATTTCATTGTCGAAACTCATCGAGAATGCAATAATTCGCGTTAATGGCACTTTAGTCTGGCATATACGTATGATAACTCACAGAATGAATTACAAAAGTTAGGACACCTGTAAAAATCTATTATGAATATATTATGCGCGTTATATGAATTATTTTGAAATTTCCTTACCATTGTAAAGGGAATCGACTGTCGTGATTTTATTGGTCAATAGGTCTATAGGCATATTTATCGAAAAGCAATCGTTTTTTCCAAAAAGCATTTTCCATAGAAAACCACATGCACGTACACCTACGTCTCGTCGAATGATTCCATTGGTTGGATGGCGTGGTTCCTGAGGGACGTTCTTATCGAGTGTTCACTGCTATTTCCATCTGACAGTCCCCTTTCACCATGCTTCCTATACCTGGCCTTCTCATACTCTTCTAGAATAACGATACCTGAAGAAGTTTTCTCTTTCTGAATTCCTTCTTCATTCTGCCTCTACCGTAAGGTATCGTATTGTATTCTTTTTCACGTTTCGTCCGCTCGAAGCTAATCCCTCGCAAATTGCCTGGATGCTTCACAAGGCGGCACTTTCAAAAGCAGATACCTATCATCGATGTGAGAATATCGAAAATTTATGAGGGAAACTCGGTTATTAGTTGATAAAACGTTTATACGAGGTTCGGTGGATTTATCGAGACGAATTTAATAGATCGAGACGAAGGGTGGAAAATGCTGTTAAATTGCTTGGCTTTCGCTGTGTCTCAGGGCAAAGACTTCAACGAACCAGGGTAAATCTATGCTTTCGACATTAAAATTTCATAAACTCTGGTTCGATTATGAATTGACTGGGAATTATTTATAGTACAGAATTCGCTCGCAGCAGTTTCGAACCACGCTTTCGCAATTTGTTTGCCGAAATAAATGATCGAACTAGGCTCGGAGTTCGGTAGCTTGACTTCAGCCAGTTCCATGAAATGTTTTCCTTCAACGTTTAATGAAATCTCTATCCAAGTGAATATTACGACGAAGATTGATAAAGATATCGGGATCCCTCGAATTCCCAAAAATCTCGAAATTAATATGAATTCAATTTACGAAGAAATATATTTCGGTTAATTACGGTAATATTTACGATACATACAAGTATGATGTGAGATTTATTATTTCCAGAATTTATTACAAAACAGCGAGAAAAGTAGTCGTATTCTAGAATTGTGAACTACATCGCTCATGTTTGGTTTCTGAAGTATGCTGACAAACGAATACAACAAAAGCAATTAGTTTCTATTTTTATTTGTATGATACTTCGAAGATATACATTCTCAGTCAAAAATCTTGGTACATGGTTTGTTTCTGATAAAGCGTCAGTACTGGTCTACCAACGTAGGTTATCAGCGTAAAATCGTACGCATTCTATAGTATATACATTAGTACAATATACCCCTAGAAACTTTCTTTGTCGTATACAGTATCGAGTTGAATGATATTCCTTCGTATCTTTCAACGACTATTTCATTTTGTCCGAGTTCTACATACGCGTGTACGGAATTAAACTGAAATACTCTAAAAATCGCAGAAACTTTCAGCATGACCTGATATTTCGTTCAAAAGCAGTCGACAGATCACAAATGTGCTAAGAAACTGTTTAAAAAGAACAGAATGTCCATTTATAGTCTGTTCGGTAAAGCTGTAATTTTTCAACTTTGCAACGATAAAGAAAGACGATGCTCTGTCGCGTGACAGAAACGGGGCATTCGTCGAATCTCTCGATTTTCGATAGGAATATACATAATCCTTTCTTCAGACACACGATATACGTTATCGAATAACGCATGTCGGGATACAAGAACGGTGTGGGACGATTTAAAAATCGAACGCGGAAAGTTCGACGCAACAAAAGAAGGTGAATCGAGGTGGAAGATCTGACCCGTGAACAATTCGTCGTTTATCTACGTGTGTCGTCGAGCTGTGCTCGTTCTCTCGCCTTTCTGTCTCGCGCGATTACTTTTCTTCCGAAGTAATGCCTCTTGAATTCTTTTATATTTTGCTATCTTCTTTCTCTTCTCGTTGTCTCAAACGGAGTAAGTTTGCCGGAGCCAGTATGAATTCATCGGAATGATTCGGCTACGAATCGGATGCAGCTGGCTTGTTTTAACTCGATCAATCAAAGCCAAGTGAACCATTCGGTTCGGAAGCTACTTTATAAAGCTTTTCAACGCTTCTAGTTTCGGAGATGTAGTAAGGAGAAGACGAGGAGAATGATCTGCTTGGAATTAACGAAGTTTCAACAATATTGGAAATATAAACTG